TTTAAAAATAAAACAATAAAAAAAAAAATATATAAAAAATTATTATAAATATAAATGAATTAAAATAAAAAAGATTAATTATTAAAATTTTTCGTGATTTCGATCATAATGACGATGATGATGATGGTGGTGGTGGTGGTAAAGATGGCGACGAATCGAACGCGAAAAGGAAAAATATTAGAATAATAATTATAAAAAAAGAAAATACGGAATTGAATTTTTACGGGTGTCCCTCAGTCAAGCACGTGCGTATAAACAGACACACACACGTGTATAAAAATACCCTTTATCTATCCAACAGTAATTTCGATTAATCGATTTAAATATTATTAATTTCGATTCGATTATTTTTTATTTTTATCGAAGAACGAAAATCCGAAGTCGAAAAAAATAAACAAACCCAAACAAAAAAATTTTTTTTTCTTTTCGGAGTCACTTAAATAATTTGCTAATTGCAAACGTAAATTCCCGATTCGTTCATTATTATTATCATTATTATTATCATTATCATCGTAATCATCATCATCATCGTTATTAATAACCCGTAAACAAACGAATCCTACACCAGTTTTCAAACGGTTTTACCGCGAAAAGGAAACACGCATGATCGATATCTCCGGCCATCGATTCATATTCATACGGGAAATATCGATCGATATCTCGAAAAAGCATTTTATCGATAATTTTTTTTTTTTTTCTAAAACTCCCAAAAGAAATAATAATAATAATAATAGTGATGACGGCAAAAGTAAGAAAAAGAAAAGAACCGGAAGTGGGGGTAAATAAAACGCGCGAGAATAAAAACACAAAAAAAAAGGGGGGGGCGAGGGTTCACGTGGCATAATAAAGGTGCAACACATACCTTCGTTCAATTGCGTCGTGACGAACGTTTTTATCAGGGCGTCAGTCGTTTGAGTGTATAAAGACAAGGCATATCTCAAACTTTGCAATTCCGGTGATTTTTCCAAAAATGTCTTTTTCAAACCGTTTCCGCCGGCGTGGAAATATTGTTTTATCGTGTCTAGTGCCACGTCTAAAACGGCACACTGTTTCGGTGTCAAATTCCTTTCTACTTCTTTCGATATATCCTGAGAAGTGAAAAAAAACGTTCAAAAATTATTATCGTCGACGTCATCATCGTCATTATTATTATTATTATTATTATTATTATTATTATTATTATTATTATTATTATTATTATTATCAATCAATCAATCAATCAATCGTAATCGAAACGAGTTCGATTTTTTTGTTTTACTTACCATAACGCCGCTTAATGCATTTTTAACATCTTGTTTTCCTGCCATGTGATTCCTAAACAATTTCGACATGTCTTCTATTTTTGCATTGGCTGCCAAGTTTTTAGCATTGTCTGTTAAATTCTTAAGAATCATCTAAAAAGAAAGAAAGAAAGAAATAGTGATAATAATAATGATTATAAATTGTGGAAGGAGAGGAGGGAGGAAGGAGGGAGGAAAGAGGGAGGGAACAAAAAAAATTATAGGTTATCATAAAACTCACCGTTTTATCAGTCATTGGGG